AAATAATTTGAAGCCAGACGCCCTTAAAACAAAAGAACTCATAATGGAGTTCAGGAGGCACAGACAGTCCACTCCTCTCTTATACTTAATGTAGAACGGGTGAAATCTGTCTCCATCTTCAGGTTTCTGGGCAACCACATCTCTGCTGATCTCACCTAGACCCACAACATAAACGCCCTTGTAATGATGACCCAACAGTGGTTGCACTTCCTCGGAGTCCGGAGGAAGAATAACCTGGACCAGAAGCTGCTGCTTGATTGTATATCTCCTGTTTGTTATTTATTTCTGCTGTCTTGCAATTTATATTTTATTCTTGCATATTTGGCATGGAACACACATAATTTCACTGTAAATGTACAATGACAATAAAGGGTTATTCTCTATTCTATTCTACAATAAAATTTAAAACCCTTCTCCTCATTTACAAAGGCTTGAATAATCATGCCCCATCTTATCTTAGAGAACTCATACTGCTGTATCACCCCAACTGAGAATTTCAGTCTTAAACCAAAGGCTACTTGTGGTTCCTAGGATATTTCACTAGCTGGGCCCACATCCTCATTTTAGGTTTGACAGCGCTTTTAGTAAAATGGTAAATGGCCTGTATTTGTATAGCGCTTTACTTAGTTACTATGGACCCCAAAGTGCTTTACACTACATTCAATCATCCACCCATTCACACACTGGTGATGACAAGCTACATTGTAGCCACAGCTGCCCTGGGGCGCATTGACAGAGGCGAGGCTGTCGGACACTGGCGCCACCGGGCCCTCTGACCACCACCAATAGGCAACAGGTGAAGTGTCTTGCCCAAGGACACAACGACCGAGACTGTCAGAGCCGGGGCTCAAACTGGCAACTTTCCGATTACAAGACGAACTGCCTGTCATTTTTCAATGATAAATTCAGAGAAACTGCCAAATCGGTGGTAGAAAAGCTTGATGCTGTGTTTGTGAATGAGGGCTAGAGAAAGATCCTGGCATCCCAGTGCCAGAAGGGTTCACAGCTGCTTTTTGCAAAAAGAAATGCAGAGTTTGCTGCATTTTGCGAATGACAGATAGAGAAGGAACCTGGCATCACAATGCCAAAGTTTGCTTCTGCACTTTGCGTAAAGAGGGATGGAAAACATCAAAGCTGACATCCTATGCTTAGCAGAGATAAACGGCATGGAGGAGCAGCAGAGCATGGAACTAGCGACTATTTTCCAGCTGTGCATTAAATGGTGGTGGGGTGCAGGTGCATAGTACTGAGCTTGCCCCTGCTACCTGGTGCTGATGGGTGGGTGGAGCTACAAGGTACGCAGTAGCTTTTGCTTTTGGAGCTGCAATTTTGCTTCTGCACAGAATAAGACTTTGGACTGATATTTAGTGCGAGGTTAAAAACCTACGAAAGTTAGAATACTGGTGAACAGAAGCAGTTAAAACCGGGCTACAACCCAGTCTGAATCCTTAACGGCAGCATATTCGGAAGACCATACAGAAGCGTGGGAATGGCATGGCTTCTGAGTCCGGTGCTGATGTCTGTCGGCTTTCGGCTAAGTCACCCGGCATGTGGGCCAGTTTCAGAGTAACGTAAGTGGAGCTGCGAGCTTTGCTGGTGAGTGATCTTCCTTAATTTCGTGGAGGCGGCCAGTGGCCGGACTTACTTCATAACTGAATTTACTGGAGAGAAGATGACTGAATAAATCAAGCTAACAAAAAATTGCTAAAAAGTTTGCCAGGATGGCAGAGGGCATTCGGTCTCTCTGAACCGCTGCCATGACATTCAGAGTGTTTGGGTTTCTTGGATCGCCTGAAGGGAATCAGATAAAATTATGTTACTCTTTTAAGATAAGCTGTGTTAAAGACCTTCTTAAATGGTATTCACACAAAAACGAGAACCGACAAAAACTAACCTTGTTCGCACGAAAAAGAGAACGAACAGCTTGTAGAACTGAGGGTCATATATAGATAAGAAACAGAAGGGGCGTGTTTGGGGGAGTGGTTCCACTCCTGAAATTCAGATAATTTATCTCCAATTAAAAGTAGTATGGGAGGAGCTTTAAGGCACTGTTTTTAATTTTGTTGTTCTGTTGTTTATGAATCTTTTTTGTCTTTCAAGTAGTACATGTTTTATATGTGAAAATGTTTTTTGTTAAAAAGTTTCTCTGACCACTGGATTGCAGAAGTTAATGGAACCGGATGCTTGTTCATCTCTAGCATCATCTAAAACCCTATCTCCTTGAAAACTCTTCTGTGGAAAAAGCTCCTAGCTTGGATCTGGGGACAGACACCCTCTCTACTTTTCAGATAAGGCTTAAGGCTTTTTTTTTGACACAGCTTATAGTTAGGACTGGATCAGGGGACTCTGCTATAATAGACTTGGCATCTTATGATACACTAAGTGTTTCTCCTTATCTCACCCCTTTTCACTCACCATGTGTTTAGACCACTCTACATTTAATTATAAGTAGTTTTGTCAAAATTAACGTGTTAACGCAAGTTAATCTGCCATCACGGTCAAGGCAATACATTTTTTTAACGCATTTAACGCATCTATTTTTTAATCTATTGACAGCACTAATTATAAGTTATTATTAATCTCTGGCAGCAAAAAAAGATGTGGTAGCATATCTCATCACACACCACACTCAGCTAGACTCCGGGACCTTCACCTCCCTCTGCAAGCTTCAAAACTCTGTCTGCCAAATAAACCATGCATATCCCACTAACCTTCATTTCCTCCTGGATACATTTTGTGTCCCTGCTAATTCCCATCTCCTCTGTCCACAATTTACCAGCGCTAGACCACCATGCCACGAGTCTCCCCCAATTGTTTACCTTTGGTGCCTTTACCCCTTCACTTCACCACACCATGCACTTTTTCTTGTTGTTCATGATCTTAAATAAAACTTGTGTGAAACTAACTCAACCTTCTCCATATCTGGTTCTGCAGACACAGGCCCTCTTGACAATCATGCCCAATACAATATCCCCAATACAATATCCTCTTTGTTAGATAGCAGTGGGTTTTTAGGATCTCCTCTCTGCCTACACACTGGCTCCTCAGCATGAGAGACAGATGCCACCAACAGTTCGGAAATCGGAAAGGTAACAGTGGTCACCATGGTAACACTTGGTGCAGTGACCCGCAGGTTAGACGAGTGGCTCCAGCAGATACCAGGAACAATATCTGAGATCTCTGTCCAGAAGAGCACAGTCCTAGGAACAGGAAAGATACTGCGCAGGACCTACAACCCCCCAGGCCTCTCGCGAGAGGATATATAGATATAATTTGTTTTTATTTAAAAAAATGTTTTACTCTGTTAGATCAGCCACTTTGCCACATGCGCTTGTCTCTGTGAAAAAAAACATAAGTACCAAAAAGCCAAGACTACTACCAGAACAGAGCGCTGGTCCATTTTATCAAGGAAATAAAGTTCAAATAAAATTCTCTTAATATATTGGTAATAGCAATAACAAGCTCTTCCTTGGAATAGGATCAAAACAAAATATAATATATTGTACTTTACAAGATAAGTTTTTAGTAACAAAAATTACACTGAAAACAAAGATATCTGATGGTGTCAAATGTCTAAAATACTTCTAAAATGCTGATCATGTACAGTTGCATTTGTGGTGTGTTAGCTTTTCGTCTAGCATTTGGTGCATTGCTGCTGATGCTGAATGGAGTCTATCTTCCAAGTAAATTGGAATGGATCTTAAGCTTTTAAGACCTACCAAGTCCGCCAGAGCTTATAATATATTTTTACATGCTGTAGTGCCATTTTTGGGAGCATTTCAAGTTGATATACATATATACAACCATTATAGCCTAAAATTTAATAGTATGTCTGCATTAAGTGCATAGTACTTACATAAATTGCAAAAAAGTGCAATAAACTACAAACAATTGAAAATTGTTTTGGTTTTTTTAACATATATTTCTAGTTAGAGAAATTTAAGAGGCTTATCCCTCAAAACTGTAAATACAAAAAAAAAAAAACTAGTTTCCCACCACAGAAAATTTATTAGTGTCTTCATAGTTTTATTTTTTAAATACACCAATTTTCATATACTGCAGGAAAAACGAAAATATTATAAGGCCCAGATGGTAAAAAACTACATTTCCGCAAAATGACATCACTTCCGGTTTCGGGCAGGTCATGGCGGACATGCGATAGTTCACGCTGATGGAGGTAGGAAGTGTTATGAACAGCTGATCGGAGCGTGTTTCTGGAATATTATGTTTTTGTTGCTGCAAGTGCTTTTTATGCAGTTTTTGCAAAGCTATATGTGGAAGGAAACTGTGATCTAGGACAAGCTGATGGCATTAGATGTGAGTACAACTCCTCCGGTTTCATATGCAAAAAAAATTATTGCGCTAGCTTACGTGGTTGCAGTGCAGTCCGACCGGCTTTAAAGGGTTAAACCACACTTCCAAGACAGTGGTAAATCTATGACAACTTTTAAAGTAGGGGTCCATGCTATAAATTTCCATTAGCATTTCATGTCAACTTTAATTTAATATCAGAGTGATGACAGATCTTAACACATCAATGAATCACAGATGTGAATGTGGAATAGATTATTGTAACTTGTGGAATAGAGCTCTAAGACTTCTGTATAGAAATATGATATCTGAAAAATATTGTTTAGTTTATATTTATTTTGAATGCATTGTTTTTTGCACTGTTGCTTCATATTTTGGTTCATGTGTAATGTGTATATTCTGGTTTTACATATATAATAACCTATATTTAAATACAAATTTGGGCATGATTCGCCTTTTGCTGGACCTATACATCTACTGGGAATATACTGCCACTATTCGATAACTTCTTATGCTGCACCAGAAGGTATAAACACCAGCTTAAGTATTTCATCTTCATTCCACTAAGGGGTTTAGCTCAAGAAATGACATCAACACAGAGATGGCCAGAGCAGGGATGGGCATTTCTGCAACTGTTGTTGGTGGCATCTGTCTCTTATGCTGAGGAGCCAGTGTGCAGGCGTAGAGGAGATCCTGAGAACCCACTGCTATCTAAGAATGGGGATATTATACTGGGGGGGATGTTCTCTTTTCACACAAGCTGGAAAGTGAGAAAGGATTCCTACCTCAACCAACCTCTGCCACTACAATGTATCAGGTAAATGACACACTACAAATCTATTTACGTTTAAGGAATCTGTTGGGATTCATTACAAATACAACTGAGGAGTAAAAGGTATTTTCATTTGTTTTAGTTACTTAATTTCCTTTCATTAAATGCTTTAATTTGAAATGTTTTTGCTTTGTATTTCAAGATTTACCCATGATTATTTGTATCTGTTTTAATGAACATGATGCAATGCAAATAATTGTCTTAATTAAGTTTAAATTTCAGAGATTTGCAGTTTGCCCAGGCTATGCTTTTTGCAATTGAGGAGATTAATAACAGTACAGACCTACTGCCAGGAATCTCTCTGGGTTATAAAATATATGATAATTGTGGATCTGTTGCCAGAAGCGCAGGAGTTACACTAGCTTTGGCTAATGGTAATGAAATTGTGTCCATACCCTCCAAGACATCATGTACCAGACCTGCATATGTGCAGGCCATAATAGGAGCGACTTCTTCTCCTACAGCCATTGCAGTTGCTGCTGTCATTGGATCTTTTTTTGTACCAGTGGTGGGTATTTTATATATAATTTTATATTTTTATATATAATTTTCATCTTTTAATATTTTTTGAAAATGTTTTATTCTCTTAGATTAGCTGTTTTTGTTTATTTGTAGTAGTACTAGTATTTTTATATTTTTACAATCGAGTTTTGCAGTAAATTTGAATGTTTTATTTTTAACAGCTTTATCTTTTCTCATTCTCTGACTTTCACATCTATATGTTTTTCATTTTTAATTCTAGATCAGCCACTTTGCCACATGTGCTTGTCTCAGTGACAAAACTAAGTACCCATCCTTCCTCAGAACAATACCCAGTGACTACTACCAGAGCAGAGCCCTGGCCCATTTGGTCAAGTATTTTGGATGGACTTGGGTTGGAGCTATCAGATCCAATAATGATTATGGAAATAATGGCATGGCCACCTTCACAAAAACTGCACAGCAGCTGGGCATCTGTCTGGAGTATTCTGTATCTTTCTTTAGAACAGATCCATCTGACAAAATACAAAAGATAATTGGCATTATAAAGGCTTCAACCTCCAAGGTGATTGTTGCATTCCTTTCCCGTGCAGATTTGAATGTGCTTCTACATGAGTTCTTGTACCATAACTTGTCTGGGTATCAGTGGATAGGCAGTGAGTCTTGGATATTTGATTCACAAACAGCAGAAATGGACATACATCACATACTAGATGGTTCCATTGGTCTTTCCATTCCCAAAGCACATGTCACTGGCCTGAGAGAGTTCATACTGGATGAGAAGCCACTGAATTCATCAAATAATGGGCTGTTTACTGAGTTCTGGGAGGCATTATTTAACTGTAAATTTAGGCAGTCAATGTCATCAGCAAACACTCAAAGAGAGTGTACTGGACAAGAAGATGTGACTGGAGTTCAAAATAGCTTCATTGACATGTCTCTCATGCCTATCTTTAACAATGTCTACAAAGGAGTGTATGCAGTGGCCCATGCACTTCACAATATCCTCAGTTGTAATAAAACATGTAACAAAACTGTGCAGCTAGATCCATTTATGGTGAGCTTTTTAGTAGCTTAAAATACAGTTTTCACATTAAGTTAAATTATTAAGAAGATTTTTAATAAAAAATGATTCTTAAAATTTTTTAAGCAAGAGTTGATGCAAAATCTTTATCATGTAATGAATTAAGCTATGTCATATTCCTTAGATTTTACAACAGATACAAAAGAGTCACTTCACAACAAAGGAAGGAGATGAGGTTTACTTTAATGAGAATGGAGATCCAGCAGCAAAGTATGAAATTATAAACTGGCAGCCAAGAGAAAATGGTATTGTAGAATTTGTTACAGTTGGTCTTTATAATCCATCAATAGTTCCAGAAAAACAGCTAAATCTGCAAAACAAGTCTTTAATTTGGGCAAGAAACTCAAAGCAGGTAAAATTCCT